CGAGGATCTCAATTAAAATTGCTCAGCTCAAATGATAGGAAATGAGTAATGATTGATCAGCATTCCTCGCTAGCGTCACTGAGCAAGGTTATGACGTGTAGACACGATGAATGTGACCTCGGATGATTTACCCATCACGATGCAAGGCAGGTATCGGGGGCTCGTGGTGCGGGGAAACTAAAGAAGCTGGTAGCATGCCTGTTACAAGTGGCGACATACACGGAGAATATCAGAAAATAAGTGCACATCATAATCGAAGAATCACACAGTAGTGCTAATCAATGATGTTAGCTTCTCTATGTCCATGTCACGTCGTCGAGGGATGATCCGACACGGGAAGTTCACAGGACGCCTGCGAGTCGTCAGCACTACACACGCCAGTACTTGTAAGAGCTACATACGATGTAATTCCAGGGGTCCACCGAGGTTCAAAATCGATATCTTTCCCGCTTGCGTCCGTAGCTTTCAAGAAATCGAAGACAGCGAGCATGGAAGCGATCGCAGACCATAGACTCGCGTCTGCAATGTAACGCCCCACACATATGCGTCGGCCCCATCCCCAAACGGGAGTGACATGGTCGTCATTCAGATCGTCAGAGGATGTGAAGAATCGTTCGGGCTTGAATTCGAATGGAGCGGGGTATTTTGTTGCGTCGTGTGTCATCGCCCTGTGAACACAGTGATTGTGAGAGGGGGAAAACTAAATATTATAATTGTTCGTACCATATATTCGTTAGGATAGAGGTTCCTGATCGAGACTATGTAAGGCAAGGCATTGTCACTCGGGCTCCCTACTCACCTTTCGGGATAAAGTATCCCTCATACACGTCGTCATTCACAGCAGAGTGAGGTACACCTAAGGGAATGCTCATAAACGGATCGGGGACCATGCATTTGCAACGAGTGCCTTACCGAGAGGTACAATCGGATGGAACCTCATTGTTTCGCGCAGGACAGCTTCAACATATGGCATAGAAACGCGATCACCAAAGTCAGGGAGTTTGTCAGATCCTACGACACGATCAATTTCGGCTTGAGCACGTTTCTGGACTTCTGGATTAAGAACCATCGCTTGTATGAAGACGAGTAGGACCGAATGAGTCTGTAGGGCAAGTTAATCGAAGGTTGCTCCCAAGCAATTGTTTGCGGGCTTACAGTCTCGGATCCAGCTAACAGTACAGTCAGTCAACGTTACATGAGGAGTATAAGTAAAACCAACCCCCGAATGCAGTTGCGCTGGACTCTTTTAATTGCCAATTCAACGATGCGTCGCCCTGAAATCGTGCGAGTCCTTCTGAGACCATGGAAGGGCCAGACAACCCAGAGGACTAAACGCCTAAGCAGAGCGTCACGTGCTCCAGAAGATATGTACTTACGATTCTGTCAAGTGCATATTGAAATGGTTTCTCAACCATATCCTTGAGTACGCTCTTCAGTTCCAAAGCATGACGTTTGAATGATGCCCCGGGGAACCAGGCGGGGATTAAGGTCACTACGTTTGCGTTCTAATAAGCTATTCTCGCACGGTAAACATCACCTACGGGCAGGATAGGAATCAATGATAGCCGCCTTATCTGGAGTCTCAGCATGAAGAATTATATCCATTGCCCCCCGAATCATGGAAACAAGGGGATCATTGGGCTTCGTTTCGTAGTCATAAACAGCGGACATGATGATGGATGCTGAGTGCGTCTCCAGATGCAGTTCATAATTAGCGGGGTCTTGGAGGAGCCCGACCAAGAGCTGATGCGCCTTGCGAAGCTGCATAGGTCTGTAGATCACAGCGGCTTCAGGGCGAAAGGCTTGATGATATATTCGTCTAAAATATGTGATGCGTGAGCAATGCCAAGGAGTGTAGAACACATGCTTACCTGTGCCTGCGCCAAGTATCACCGTAGCTTCGCATGACCGTCCTAAATGCAATACCTAACCTTGAAGAGCAGCAGTATGAGTAGGTCTCAAAGCGCAAAATCGTATTACTTGCAGTTCCATTGTAGCAAAACGAGGTCTGTCAGAATAATTGCTTGAGCGCTTCTCAAGTATCGCTCGTGCTACGTCTACAGAGTTCAAGATGATGACGTCCTGGTTGAGCATACGAGAGTATATAATGTCGCCTAGAGCTCTGTTAGATATGATGGATGTCGAACAGGAGCAAAAGAAAAGGCAGACCATAGATATCACTCCATTCTTTGTATGTGATCCAAGGAAAGTCGGTGTTCATGCGATGCGAGTTGCCAATTATAGGCAGGGGCTTTGGACCTGGAGGTAAAGGGAGTTGTCTTCGTGCTTTCTTCTTGGCAAAACTTGACGTTACACCGATCATCGTAAGGAAAATCGCGACCAAAGCTCCGTGTGCTAGGTCCATGGTGAAGTTCGAGGGAAACGTGAGAGAACGTCAAGTATGATAACCTCTCGATCTTTATCAGTCACGGTTCGGATATCTAAATATTTCATTTCCAGTAGCGACGGCGCCCCCTCATACCATCTAAATGTGTATCAGCATGTCATGAGACTTGGTGGAGAAAAATTCCGGGTTAACGATCTGCAAGAACGGCGGAAGGTCCGAAGGCAGCTCACCGAGACTATGGGGGGTCGGCAGACTTATTGACACATTGTAACCACACCATAGTTGTGTGTCTGTTATTTCGTGTATGCTGGTGGAAAGTACGCTAACACGATCAGGGTGTGGTTGGACTGGGCTGAGCGTGGCTCGGGGTAGGACGTGAGCAGGTGGAGTCGCTGGCCATGGTATGAACGATGATGCAATTACTAGTAGTAGTAATGTTGCGGGGATGGTGTAACTAGTGGGTTTTGAGCTAATAATTGAGTGGACATATGATCGAGGTAAATTGATGAATGTGTATTCCAAACTAAAAGGAGTGGCGGGCGATGAGTGCAAAGTTCAAACGAAAGGATGTGAGGATGTAAGCCCGCTGGCAGCTGGCTGGCTTACCTGAGTTCCCACAATCAGCATAAATACTGTCTGCGGCGTGAGTTTTGATTATCCCTGCCTTTTGGCCTAACGGTTATTCGGCGTAACGGTTAAGGAACGACAGTCTTGACTACTTAAGTACAGAGGAGTAAGGATGCTTAGTAGAAACTTGAACGAGTTTGAGCTCATCGTCGAGAACAGTGTGGTGCCGGAAACTTCCGGCAGGGCCTATATATAGAAGTTGGCAACGCAAATCCTGACCCACCCAGAGCAGAGGTTTTCATTCACAAGTTCGACCATCATCATACGCACAGCTCTGCATTTTGAGCGCTGGCCTGTATATATATGTATATACGAAATTCTACACACGAACTGCTTCCCATAAAGCGCTGTCGAGAGTTAGAGCCAGTGGTACAGGTTCTACATTCACATCCTGTTTGCACGTCACAAGTTCACGGGTGGCGTTTTGAAAATATTACCCGAATATGCGTGACTGTTTCTCTCGAATGGGCTCAGGATCCTAACGCCGGGGATACGAACGTGGAAATCTACATCGGCACAGGACCGTGCCACTGACTCCAGAGCCCATTTTCGGCGACCTCAAGACCTCATGATCATGCGCAACTCCTCGGTCTCCCCAAAATTCCCATACCCACTGCAGGCGACTCTAGCTCCTTCCGATATTAATCACGCATTCCACTGTATTTCCCATGTTAGTATCCCGAGTCCTCCGCTGAACTGCGCGTAGGATCTCGTTTGGGAGACTGAGTCGGCGAGTTCTGTTCTGTCTAGTGAGAACGGTATGATTGCCCTTCTTCATATGACCGCTTTCTTCAACTCCCCTCGCCCACCTTCTTTTTATGGCTGACTAGGAATTGGAAATGGCGCATCCTTGTGATTTGGTCGCAAATTAACGTGTGCATGAATCAGACAGGTCGGATTTTCACTCCCGTCCGTGGATGGCGACTACGACTACGAAGTGCCAAACAATTCAATGCCTCCGATAGCTTCAACTTCGATGCATCATCGCAAACAGGTCCCTGACAGACATCTCAAGGTCTTGCATTGGCCAGTGTGCATGAACATGAGTTCTTGCCGTCTTATCTTTTAGAGCCCAGCAGTGCAACTGTAGTGGAGGAGACAAAAACTTGCCTTGTCTCGCTTTTCCTTGATACAAAGGCATCTATCACGCCCTCTCAGCTCGAACGGCAGCAAAAAATATGCGTTTTCCATTCTTGCCAGGATTATGCAAGATTCGAAATTCACACCGCACCAAAGGAAATCAGACTCGAAAATTTTGACGTTTGAGCACGGTGATACTATGTGGTGCTACGCTGAACAATGGACCGGTCACAGTCAGGCGAAATTGCGCAAGATGGAAGAATGTATTTGGACCGGCACTATCCTCTACAGTATTGGCGGATGGAGCAACAGACTTCTTGTAAGTGGTGTCAATCTGGTCATCTGAGAAAATAACTGCTAATTAAGAACAATTTCCTACGAGAGATTAGGGGTGACCGAGGAATTTTTGAGATGTAAGTATCACGAGCACTTACATAGCCAATGACTGCAATTCGATTTCGCTGGTTAAATCTATCAAATGTATTGATTATCCGACATCATCGACATCCACGATACATAGCAATGGCCCTTGATAGTGGCATGCACTGGCAACACAGGGATCTAAAAGGGGGTAACGATTGTGTGTATAATACTATACAAGTAGGGAAATTTGAACGAGTCGCTCGTTTGTCTTCTGAATCTTTCTGTCAACCACGACGCGAGCGTCGGACTTCGTTCTACTCTAAGAACACAAACCCCGAAATCAGGATGCTTAGAAGAGCTTTTGTTTGATTGTGAACAAGATGAACTTCTTAGGACTCGGATACGGTAAGCCATCATGATGAATCGTGTATTACACGGAGATTTAGATAGCGTAGTCCTTCTCACCATGAAAAGCATATACCTGGCGCGCTGCTGTCGATCTTATGTTCGACGAACTAGCACCGCGAGTAAGTTTGGGTGTTAAGATTGGTCTAGCACTATGGATTTGACTGAAATCGATAAGCTAAGTCAGAGTCACGTGCGCGTGTTGATGGGAACGCGTCGTCGGAGTCAAACTGCACTTGCAACATGAACAGGTCCGCAACCGCCACATCAGTCCACATCAGATTGATCGATGGTCCACTACATTTGCGCCACATTGGACGACCAGATATAAGAGAAGCAGAAAGCGGTCTTTCTTTCTTGTCCTCTTAGTTTTCTCCACTTCACCACAACACTCAGTCAGTGTAACAACTTCACCACCTAGCGTCATGTCCCCTACCGGCGAGACAGGCACATCATCCACTCCACCGCGCGCTAACGCACCAGCTCATGGTGCTAGTAAAATAGAATCTACCCCAAATAGCCGTGGGGCTGCCGTCGTCAGCGAGAACATCAGCCTGGTCGGTGTCAAGTGCGCACCTTTCCTGGTTTTTATTGAGTAGCGCCTGACATTTCATCAAGGGTTAACAAAGTCCGCCCATGGATTCAGCGGGATATCGAGCAGGCTAAGGAGTGCAAGGCAGATGCCATGCTGCAAGCCCTCCTGCAGCACGCTTCTTCTACTCCGGAGACTAAACAGCCCGAGCTCCTGCAAAAGTGCCTCAAGGCAGTTCTGCCTGTTTGCAACGGACAGGTGTCCACTGCACTCGCAAAGTCTTCGGATGTCGAGACAGCCCTAAAAGAATAGTGAGTGCTTCTTCTCAGTTTGCTGATCGGGTGTTTTCATGCTTATAACGATTACAAGCATGAGTCCAGGAGACGAAAACCACTTCTACGGCCCTTTTATAAGAGCCACTAATATCGCTCTCGCTTGTCTTGAAGAGATCAAGGTTGACGGAATGGGTGCTCCTGTCCCTGCCGTGGATATGATCTGTCAGCAGAACGATATGCCCATGCACCAAACCCACCAGACCGCAAAATCAATTCGGAAGCCCGACCTCGTCATTCTTCCTTTGAATAGTGCATGCGCTCCCTTCGAGAAAAAGAAAAAGAAGAACAAGAACAAGGACGACGAGAAAGATGACAAGAAGCGCAATAAGAAGCGCAAGGCTCACATGGATACGAATGCAACGGTAAAGCCGAAAAAATCTCCTCTGGCAAGATGTTCTTGCTTGCATCGAGTTCAAGAGAAAGACGCCAGGGAGGAAGAAAGGGATTCAACCGCCACTGCCCTCTTCATATAAAGTGGAGGACTATGTCCCTACCAAGCCAGAATATCTGCCGGTGGATCATCTTAAGTCTGAACGCCCCGCACCAGGCCCTTCGCAGACCCGTGCAACACAACCTGCGTCCGACACTGCACGTAAGTGAATGCATTTTTTATTCCAAGGTCGAACTAAATCGGCCGAGCTACAGTTCTATCTTCCGGCCTTACTGCTGCACAGCCTTCCCAGGGCGGGTCCAGCTCCAAGCGCAAGGCCGCGGACACCTTGGAATCCGCTGCAAAAAAATCCAAGATGAACCCTGATGACACGGACGCCGAACCAGATGTCACCGTCCAGACGGGTCTGTACGCCGCCGAAATGTTTGCGGCCAACCTTGCAGTCAATTATCTACTGAATCTTATCATCGTTGGTGGGTTCGTTCGTCTGCCGAGAGTGGTCGTACTCTTACCACAGCTTTTTCAGACGATGTAATGTGGATCTGGTATTATGATCGACAAGGCACCATTCAAAGCTCGGGCATCAACTTCATTCAAGATCTCCCGCGATTTATGGTGCTGTTGTATGCTCTACAACGATTCAAGCTTGAGGATTGGGTCGAAACAAGGACTTCCTCCCAGTTCAAGTTGAGGGGGAAACGGTGCCACGAATTCAAAATCACGGATGAAGAACTTGGAGAGGTGGATCTGCTGCTTCATACTAGCGACGACGAAAGAGTGACACACTACGGACTACAAGGACGCGCCACCAATGTGGTCCCTGTCACTAGCGAAGCGCTCGCCAAGAAATACCCAAACATCCAAGGTGGGATGGTAGCCAAGATCTTTTGGGGAGAGGTGAATCGCATTAGCGAGCCGAAAATCTTGGACAAGGTCAAGGAGATCGCCCAAGGTGCACGCCACCGTAAAAGACCATGTTCCTGAGCTGCTTTGGCACCACACGTTCACAAATCCCACGTCCGCAGTCCGAGAAGCGCTCGGGGTTCCAGACCCCACCACAGGCAGTCGCGTGCTCTACATCCTCATATTCCCCAAGCTCTACCCCATCACGAAGCTTCAAAGACAAAGAGCTTTTCGTCGTGTGGGTTCAATGTATTCTATGTATGTGTTTCATTGCATTTGTGTGACTCCTCATTGACATAGCGTGCAGGTCACGTCACTCTGTGGAAGGAAGGGGTCTATCATCGAGATGTCAGCCCTGGAAACATGATGTGGTACGAGATAGACGGGAAGCTGATGGGTGTCTTGAACGACTACGATTTATCTCGTTGGCGAATGACCCAGGTCCTCGGGGGCAACGAGCGCACGGGCACGGTGCCGTTCATGGCGCTCGATCTTCTCACTGAAGAGGGTCAACGGGGCGAAGTCAAACACCTATATCGTCATGATCTGGAGTCGTTTGTGTGGTGCTTGGTTTGGATTTCCCTGCGTTACGAGAACGGAGCCCTTCTACCAGCGGAATCGCGACCCTTCGATGATATGGGCGACTTTAGACGCCGTGACATGTGGCGTGAAAAAGTACTATTTCCAGGGTCATCTCCAAGCTCCCGAAAGCTCGCACATAGACCCAGTCCTATGGAGTCCTTATTGTGGATGTGTTTCGATTTGCTTGACACAGACACCTTCAACCGACGTAAACAACTCCTACGATCGATAAAGAGGAGAGAAAGCCCTACCCAACACCGAGGAAACGGAATCAGATATCGATGGTTTTTTTACAGCGATTCAAGGATACCGAGAGCTGGGTTGCGCTCAGCACACCTCCCCGTGAGCCTTCACTGTGATTTTCTTTACTTGTTACACTAAATATTGTTTTCCTGTATTCCGATACTTGTGTCAAATCCCCGTGTGCGCCTAGTCTCCGGTAGGCGGACTGAGCAAATAGATAAATGATAGTGCATAGTCACTCCTCAATGAGGAGAATTAAAAAAATTGTGCGTCAGTTCAGTATGCTGAACTGCGCCGAGATAAACAATGACAATTCGACGATAATCAGATACAAATACAAAATTAGTAGCAAAAAACGTTTCAGACACGCTGAACGCCCATACTGACCTTACTTCGCAAGTGATTTGTTGGGAGTGACTCAGCAAACGCACCTTGCGTCTAAGCACGATGTGGCCAGAGAAAGTGCAACGGACAGTTCGATATCGCTCAAGCAGCAGGAAATGATGCCCTCGAGAATGTAATACATGCACCTTACAACAAGCTCTTGAACACGCTGTTCCCAGTTGACACG